ATTACCCTTGATCATGCCCTACCAGGCCTCCCGCACCCCCCTCACCACCAATTTGGATCACTTGTTCCCTTGTCCCTGGGTTTGTTAACACCACTTCCTTTCCTCACACCTCCCCCTCTCCCATGTCCCCCCGGAACTGTCGGTCCCATTGTTTTCTCCTCCAGATTGTTCATCCAGCCTATCCTATTTAGACAGACATGCGGAGATAATAACATGCACAAAAATAAGACAGAGCAAAACCAAGCAACAATATACAACAAAACAACAAAGCACTGACAAAAAACAAAACAAAACGCAACAAGAAAGAAAAGCTTGTAGTTAGTTCAAGACTCAGATTTCTTTCGGACATGTGGCAGTGGTTGCCGGCAAGCTCTAAGCACTTGTGGTGAAAGCCCATTAGGAGAGGGACAGGGCAGTGCCGAGAAGGTGTGGTTTGTCATATTCCTTGGGAGCTCAGGGAGCCACAGCCAGTTCGTTGATCGTGGGGAGCTGCAGTCCCCACAGAAAGGCACGGGAGGGGCGGGGCAAGCAGAGAATGGTGTGGCCACCATGGCGGAGGGTCTGTTTGTCAGGAAGGATGTTTTCTTCTGGCAGGGCCGACTGTTGGATTTGGGGACAGTTTAACAGAAGGACGGAGCCCCGGTGGCTGGTGTAATGGATTGTACGTTGGGCAACTAACCGAAAGGTCAGCACTTTGAACCCACCAGCCCCTCCATGGGAGGAAGGTGAGGCTGACTGCCCTTGTAAAGACTGACCACCTTGGAAACCCACAGGGGGTTTTACTCCATCCAGTGGGCTCGCCATGAATCCAGAAAGTGGAGAGGTTCCCATTGGAGCTTCAAGTCAGTGAATTCCATAGTGGCCGGTCCTCCCTTTCTGTGCAAGCTGAGCCCAGAGCCAGGAAGTGGCCTGCCCAAGGCCACACCGCTCGTCATGACAGTGTTAGGGCTCGAAGGTCCACTTCTCAACTTCAGTTCCAGGGCTCTTTCCACAACATCACACCGTCGGCTCCCTGGGCTCAGGCACTGAACCTCTAGGGGCCCTAATGGTGTCATCGCTGGTTGATGCAAGAACGCTGGGGCCTCCCACTTGGGTCACATAGAACACGGGGCTTCTCTCCCTTTTAACTGTTTGCTGGCTCTTGGATGGAGGTTGTCATCTCGGTGTGCACTCTCCCATCCGGCTTCAGGCAGGCACATCTTTCCTTTGTATTTCTCCCAGCCAACCAGGGCGGGTCACCCAGTAAGCAAGGTAAGCACGGGCTGACTTGTGCTTCCTTCTCTGTCATGAACCAGGGAAACCCATGTGAAACCGTTCATGACAGATTAGTGAGTAAACACAAGTCAGCCTGGGCTTCCCGCACGTATTGGGTTCTCTGTCCCCATCAGGGACTGTACATTTGAAAAGCAGCTTAGAGGCAGGAAGGTGCTGTGGGGCTCGGAGAGAGACAGAGGCCAGCATTACCTACAAGTAGAATCTTTGATGTGGTGGAAAAAACCATGAAATCGTCCACGACAGATTCGTAAGCGAACACAAGTCGGCCTGTGCTGACCTTGCTGATTGGGCAACCTGACATGGCTATGTCCTAGTCAAATAAGATGACAGCCTACCTTTAACACTGTGATTTGAGCTTGTGCCTTAGCCAGGAGGGGCCCCTGCTGGACACTGACTGGCGAGTCCTTCCTGGCCAGCGTCAGTAACAAGCTCGCTGTGGCTACAGACGGATAGGTGGGCTTGGCTGTGTGGGGCCTGGAATCAAAATCAGCCTGGATCTTCTACTGCACAGTCACCCCTGGCTCTTGCTTCCCTGCCAGGGTCCTTGGGGCACCAGAGTGTGTGTCCCGTCTGCTCTCACTTGGGGAGCAGAGCACAAACTGTCTCCACTCAGCAGAGGTTTCTTCCCAGCTCTGTAGAAACTGCGTGTTGGTGAAGGATAACAGGGATCTAAGGAAAAATGCAACTGTCTTCTCTGAGATCGGGGCTAGCGGGGCTACTGTAAGTCTAGATGTCAAAGGTTAGGTTTTGATGAAGAGCAGAGGTGGCGGGACAGAGGTGTGTGTCCCTGGGGGCCGGTGAACGAGTGGCCAGAGAGCCAGGTGTTGTTTCCATCTGGGTCTGGTGTCCAACCTGTCTGCCTCCTGCTAATGGTCAGGAGGCCTCCCCATTCCCTGGTCAATCCTCCAAGGAGATGGACGGACACCGTGGGCTCAGACGGACACTGGGCTCAGACAGAGGAACAATTGTGAAGGTGGTGCAGGACTGGACAGTGTTTCATTCTGTTGTGCCGAGGGTCACCATGGGTCAGACTCAATGCCACCTAATAACAACAACAACAACAACAGAGAGGACCAGCTCCTACTCTGGTGTCCTTACTCACTGCCCACCTCCAGTTGGTTCGGACTCACAGCGACCCTAGAGGGTAGGGTAACACTGCCCCTGTGAGTTTCCAAACGGTCACGCTTTCCGGGAAGTCGAAAGCCTCGTCTTTCTCCTGAGGAGTGGCTGGTGGTTTCGAACTGCTTATCTTGCTTGCGATTAGCAGCCCCACGAGTAAGCACCGTGTCTCCTTCAGTGCTGGTGTCATTCATAGCAACTCTGGAGAGCTGACGTGGGTGCCCGGAGAGCTAGCCGCTGAAGTGTGTGGTGAGGCCGGCCACATCTGAGCAGTGTCAGGGTTCGTGTACAGAACATTTCACTCATTGGCCTCAAACCCCATTCACGCCCGAGCTTTCTGCTCTGTTCGAGAAATGGCCAGAGATGGACAGTAACTGACTGCTTGTCACACAGCTACTGGGTGGCAGAAACAAGACTTGAAACCAGGTGTCTTGCCTCTCCACCTGAGGCTCCTGCTTTGCAGGGAGAGCATTTGTGTGTGTGTCGGGTAGGGGTGGGGGGTGGTCCTCCTGGATTGTGAGCTGTCTGAGAACAAGCACTTGGCCCCCATCCCACCGGCCTGGGGACAGAGGCCTGGATTTGCTCCCTTATGATCATCACCCCAGTCTCGGCAGAAGGCCCTGCTCACAGGGGGCTCTGGACCTCCATTTACTGACCGAATGGAAACTCCACTGGTCAGTTCTACTTGGACCACTGCTAGCCCATTCCAGTGCTAGAGTGTTTCAGCTTCTGCTTAAACTTTAGTTCCGAGATGTCTTGGAGGTGACCCTCAGGCAGGTCCATGGCCCAACGCCTTATCTCCCCAGGAGAGCAAGCACATTAT